TCATATAGCACATTGCAGGGAAGTGTTGGTGCTGTGACAGCATCTTGAAAGATAGAAATAACTGCTGAGAGTCAGGGAAGAAGTTGAAGACTCTTCAGCATGTACTAAAAACCAACCCTGTTTGATTGACAAGATCTGACTGCAAAGTGTTTAGTGCAGAGAGAGGGTCTTGGTCTAGTCATATCCCAGCAAAATTTGCCTAGATTATTTCTGGTACTTCTGACTAATTATGGCAGTAATTGTTTTATCCTGTAAACTCCATTAACTCTGTTCTTAGCCAAACCAAGAATAAACTGTCAGGAAGACCTGACTCTGGTTTCAAGGGAGTGACAGAGTTATTTTTAGCTAATGGTTGTTAACTCATTGTATTTTTACCACATGGTCTTTGTCTTAGAGTTCAAGCTGGTCTCTGAAGTCAGCTTGGTGTGGATGTATCTTTGTTGCAGTGCAGCTGCCAGGGGCTGCTGTGTAATGAGAGGGGAAGAGAACAATCTCTGAAATTTGTTTCGGGAGCATTAATTGAACCAGATCTGAATTATGCTTCAAAAAATACTTGAGTTTGAGGTTAAACAAGAAGAGGAATTCATGAGTGGTGCTTGCTGAAAGCTTCTTTGCAATGTCAAGTACTGGAAACAGAGCTAAGAGCTGCAAATATGGCTTGAGGAATGTGTACTGGGGGCAGGGGGAGTCTTTGTACAGCCTTAAAACCTGTGGCATTCTTTGGGGGCCCTATCCTCTCATAGCAAGCATACATCCATTCCCTGGGACCTAATCTCATTTACATAGCCCTTTTTCTTCCCCACAGCTGCCTGATCAGCCCTAATCTCTGCCTCCAACTGTACTCTCAAAACAAGCAGATTTTTTTGGCCTCTTACCCCAGAACCTGATTACTTTCCTTTCTGTGGGTCTGACAGGACTAGTATGGAGAGCAAAAGATCCTTCTCCTATGTTGCATTCCACAACCGCAGGATCACATCCAGAGAAGCTACAGTTACCAGGAGCCAGTGTGAGACACCAAGGAGATGGGCTTCTGTTCATGAAACCATTTATCCAGCATGGGAACAAACTCAGATCCAGAGACAGAGCCCCGAACAGAGGCAGGGTGAGGGGTTGTGAGGGACAGAACCAGGGTGGAGTTCAGGGTCAGAGACCACTAGGAACACAAGGTAGAAACCCAGGGGCTCAAACACAATCAGAACTCCTGGGCTTCCCCCCATGAGGGGTCTGGGGTGGGGCAACTTCATCCAGGCCTCACATGGCCCATCCCCCAAACCAAAAGGTCAAAATTCACACTAGCCAGGCCTTACAGCCCTGCCTCCACTTTAACAATGCTTATCTCAAACTAAATCTTTGCCTCCTTGAGGCACCTGCTACATTGGTTAAGGTAGCAAAAACAAGCCACTCTGAGAAGCTGATCTAAAGTCGCTGATCTAAACATCTTGACGTTCCTATAGCATTAGCAGGGGGTATACAAATGAAGGCATAAACCAACTTTTCTAGTTGTAAAAGACAATACTGATGCCTCATTAACATAAAGCAAGAAGTCTGCTATCACAGGCTGCTCACTGCTTTGCCTGCTGTTTTGATCTGACCACACCATTGCTTCTCAGAAATGATGTAATTTTTGAGATTATTTGATTGCTGTTGACCAGGATTGTTGTCTAGAGGAGGTCTGGTCTTTGTCCATGTATGTTCTGTCTGCTGGAATGTTGTAATAGATTAGCTCCTTTCTGTCTGGCTATAAGTGTGTTTTCCTCTACCCAGAAATCAAGCAATAAATGGCAGGAAGGACTGTGTTACGACTAAGGCAGAGGGACTGAAGAAACCTGGAATGCTGTTTCTGTTGTAGCCTTCCTAGGTGATCTTAGTAAAATCATTTAAATTGTTTGTCTTCCTCCTCTCTGCAAAATGGAGATAAGAGAATAGGTGAGGGTTTAAGAGAATTTCAGAGAATCTTTTTATTATAAATACGTTTATTGGGAATTATCTTTAGAAAAGGAATATCCAGTTCTGTAGATATTCTGGCAAACATAATTTGGATTGTATGTGTGTGTTTTCAAGATCGGAATTCTGTGCTATCTGTATGAAATTTCTAGCTTTTAAACACATATTTCACTTGGTTGACTGATATGCAAATTATAAACATTAGACCAGGCAAACAGGGAATGATGAAAAAGTATTGTGCATAATAATAAACTAACTCAATTTTGATTCTGCTCAAACATGCTCTCATAGATACCATCACCTGTTGACAACTTAATGAATAGAAAAGCTGTTTCATTCTACCCTTTCCAACAAAAATCACCAAGAAAGAAAATAAATAACACTTATAGTAATTGAATCGTCTGAAATTGATGTCTATTAGCTCCTGAAATGCATTCAAGTTTCTTTACTTAATTTAACTCTGTGAATTACATACTTCTCAAAAATCACGGTTTCATGATGATGAAAAAAATGACATACCTTACTGCATAGCCTTAATTTTTAGCATTGAGATTATTCCTTTTCTTCTTGTATTACTCCTTTTTAAATAATTTTTCTTTCATTTGGGGAAGAAGAGGAAGGGAAAGATTGTGAACTACAGTTTGAAGGAGTTTTTTTTACAAGCATTAGAGGGGTTTAGATTTGGGGTTTTCTTCTGTTTTCAACAGAGGTGAGTAATTCAAGTTAATATTATTCTTTGCCTGTGTGGCAACTCTAAAACTGTGCTAGATAATTTAAGCCACATAATTACATTGAATTCGAACCATTCTTTGTAGGATGCTTCAAATGCTCTTGTGTGGAGTTGAATGTCACTTGAAGAGTCCTTAAATATTTTGCATGTGAGAAAACATAATAAGAAGCAGGCTTCATTTAAAACTGTCTTACTATCTGAATCTTTCAATGTTGGAGAGATTGAATGCTAATTGAATGCTAAATTTAGTTTTTAAAATGATCTTGTAAGCCAAAACTTGCTGTTGTATTCATCAAAGAGCAGATATGCATTCCTCTTCTGTTTATATGGAAGTCCATAGCTGGTACAGATCATAATGCCTCCATCAAGTCATTTTGGCATCTTAGAAAAATAAAGTCCTTACATGGTCCTTATATTAAGTCAGTTCAATCCTGGGAGGGAAGGATGAGGTAATTATTCTTTGATAAAAGAGATCACAAGGCCTTTTTTACAGATGGTCCATTAGTTTTCTATGATAAAGCATTCTTTCTATAGCTTCTGTGGTTGAACATGGATGCCAGTCATCCTAAGTTTTTAATTGTTGACTTCTAGCCTTGCAGGAGTTGAGGGGGAAATCTGTGACTTTACAAAAGTTAATTTTCTAGTTGTATGGGACACCTTGCCCAAAGCTTTTTTGACACATCAGGGTTCAACATACATGTTTTTACTCAGCTATCAAGGAATTGCTGTTAAAGGACTTTGGGGAAGAATATCCTGAATACATCAGTGGAGTCACCAGTCCTTGATAGGTCCTGAAAAAATGAAAAAGCAGATACAGTTTTATGTGGATGTTCATTGGTGCCAAGTTTCTCTGTGATTTATTCTAATCCACACACTTGACTGGTAAGGTAAAAGAATGAATCAATTATTAAGAATCCTAACTTTAAACTGTCTCTAAGAGTTAATGAGTATAGTCTAATTATTCATATATTGCACATGCACAGAAACAGAACTGATGCTAATCTGAGTTGCACATCTGTGTTCTGAAGAGCTATGTTTTACCCCTTCAAAATTACCCAGAAAAAAAGCTAGTCATGTTTTACACATTTCTAAGAAACAGATGAAACAGGGTGAGTTTTAAATCAGCAGCAAGTAAATCACCTCATTTCCATTGTTTCTGTAATGCAGACCAGTTTGCTGCCAGCTTGGATTTTCTAATTTTGATTTAAACACATGACTTATAATGTCTTTGTTGGGTGGTGGGACTAAAGGATTTACGGTGCCCTTGTATGTGGGACTCTCATCACTGTACGGCAACCCTGTCGTTTTTGTGACAGAATCTGTTTGACTGCTGCTGGATTTATGATAGAAATAATTCAGAACAGAGTAATAATTTTCCCTTGGCAATTACACTACCATTTGGTACTTTGTCCCTAAGGGGAAAATGAATGTGCTGGGATCTGTCCATAAGTTCAGTGGCTCAGTGAAAAGAACAAATCAAGGTCAGAATGCAGTTGAATACACACTGGTGTTTCATAATATAATCTAGATCTTCTGCTTTTATCTGATTCATTAAAAGCTCATGTAATTTAAAGATTATTTTTTGACTGCCATGAGGTTTATATTGGGAATGCTTTGTGAGGGATATTTCATTACCATGTTCAATACTTCCTTTTTCTTTTCATTGCCTCTTTTCTCTGTAGCAGTGGCCACTTCAGCAACTTCTTCAGTGTAAGCAGGATAGTACCTTGCTAAGCATTGGTGCTTATGATATTATATGATATGATATCATAAACCACATAATAGTTATGTATAACTAATGGAAAATCTTTTTCCACATCCGTCCTTTCATAAAAATGATAGATCACGTTTTCAATACAGTTCGTCAGCGGTCTCCTTCGGCATGAAAAATCTGCTGATCCAGGATGTTTGTCTAGAAGTAATTTGTCTAATAACTAAACCAGATCTTTTTGCCAGTCCATGTTCCTGTTCTCCTGTTCTTCCCTTCAGTTGGCAGGCAACTGTGAAATCAGGAACATAGATAATAAGACAAAACTCATGTGGTGTTGTGTTTCTTAACACATACTCTCGTGTGTAGTGGTGGCTACAGAATGATTGAATGATCAGTCAGGAGAGTTACCTAAAAATTGATAAAGCAATGAAGCATCTCAAATGTGATCTTTTTTGGTTAAGTTTTGCTTTTGTAGTCATGTGTTTCAAAACTCAATAATGGGTAAAGTTGGCTTAGAGAGGGCTTGTAGAGGCTGTTTTAAGTCTAGGCTGCTTTCTGTATGACCCATGATGTCAAATCAAAACTCTCTAATCTGAAATACTATAAAGAGGCATGTCTGGTTTTTGTAGTTTATACTGAAGATATGTAAACAGCAGATCATCTGATATATATCATGAAGTGGATCTGTTGGTACTCTTCTCTGAATATTTACAGGGCAAAAGATCAGAGCTGTGATGTTCTTATCTCCTCTTGGCAGAGAAGTCTGAAATTGTAGTGTTCCTTGGTAGAGGCCTGTATAAACAAAACAAATTTCTGTCAGGAACGGCACTGGTACAAATCTGCTTTGGGTAGGGAGCCACTAGATGAATTCTTAAGGCTCTTTTAATTCCAGATACTCCAGATGAAGTTTTGTAAACTTTTTAACCCTGCCCTTGAGAAGTGTTTTACCTGAACATCAGTAAGCTTTCAGCCACTGTTGATGTATCAACGCTGTTAGATTTAACTATTTTATCTGTTACAATCCTTGCCAAAACTATCCCAGGTTCCTCTGCAGAGTTTTTTTAAGGAGGAGATACATGCTTGCTAAGATTCTCAGGTGGCTACTAGAGACATACCTAGAGAAAACTGTGTCTCTTTCAGACTAGGCATAAGATTGGACATTACGGTATTTCTGTGGTGATTATGCTTGATACCTGGTTTCAATATAGCTCATAATCAGTTCTTCCCCTAGTGACAGACAATATTTCAATTTTTCTTCGAGATGGCTAGGCTAGAAAAGAACTTTGTCTCTTAGCCCTGACTCTCATGCATTTGGACTTTGACAGGCAATATGTGATAGTAATTTTGCTGGACTTAAGGATAGCAATATGATTGATGGCTAAAAAGACACAAGAAAAATAAGGATTTCTGTCACTGACCTTCCAGTGACTTTCTTGAAAGAGAGAGTAATAAGTCAAGCTGCACGTGTAGAGTATGTATTAACTTACACTTTGTAGTACCTTTGAGTAAATATTTCTAGGCAATTACATGACAGGGAAAATTATTTTACAGTTTTGCTTTTGATGAGAACGTTGCTGCTTTCATTTTTCTTATTATTGTTATAATAATTGTGAAACATTTCTGTTCAGCATTTCCACAGATCAGTGTCTTTCCAAGAGTTCACAGAGATACTCAGAACAAACTCCTTCTCTGTTCTACCTTCTTTCCTCATTTTGGTTATTGTCCTACTCCATAAATGCTTTTGCTGACCAGGTCCTATGTAGCCATCTTTGAACCTAGTTTTTCCAGGCTAGTGAAAGAGAATCCTAGAATCATGCCAGCACCCTTTGTCTGGTTTGCCACTGTTCAAGTGAGCCCAGTGCATCTTGCTGAATGCAGTATTCCCTGGGAAAAAGGAGTCTTGAAGTCACTTTTAGCACTGGACAAGCTTTTAGTGTAAACTAAAAGAGTGTGACTGTACTAAAATACAAAAGTTAAGAAACCAGCTGTGCTTTGTGAAGATGCAGAATGTTAGAGCATAGTTACATAGTTCACCACACAGTCATGCTGCTTTATTGAGGTTCTGTCTTCTGCTGACCTGCTTGTTATGGTAGTCATGCTACCTCCTGGGAAACTTCACACAGGTCCTAGATCTGTGATCTGGATTTTAGGACTTCTTACACATTTTATGGTTCATGGTTTATCTCTTTTATGGTTTAGGGTAAGAGTTTCTCTTTATATCCTACTTTCTCAACTATGAATGTAAAAAAATAACAGCCTTAGTGTTTGGCCTTACCCTTACTAAAATATTTCTTCTTTTTTTATTTATTTTTTTATTTTCTTTTCTTCCCTGAATGAAAATACTCCTCAAGGTATTAAAACTGTAGTATACAGTTAATAATTTATAACATGCATGTTATATGCCACTCCTTATGAAAAAAGGTGAAACATTAAATGTACTGACTTATGAGTACAATAAATTGTACTTATATAATATATAATAATTAATACAATTAATAATTATATAACTACAATAATGTACTTACAGAACCTATTTAATTTCAAATAGTCTCAGAGGGCAGTGTATTTGGAGTAAAAAAGTTCATAAACATGGCTTAGCAACTAGGGTACAAGGGTAGAGCTATCATGGTTTTCTGTGGGCATCCATGAAATAAAATAGTGTAAAATATAAAGAAAATTCTGCCAAGGTAATGTTCCTGAAGCACTTATGCTTTCTTCAGGAAAGTTGCTGTCTTAACTGCCAGTGTAAGAGGATTTGAGATATGTCTGTGCTTAAGTTCTCTCAGAGGTTCATTTTAGCACCTTTACTGCCCAGCACATGCTGACAGAAGAGTTTAATTCTAGCAGCCATAACCACTTTTCCTCTAAACCATGATCTGAAGTGATGAATTCGTTGTCATTTATATAGTAATGACAAGAATCTCCCTTCAGCTCCAAGTATCCTTCATTTGCCTTCATCCCCAAGAATCTCCCTTCATCCCCATCCCAACTCTTGGGATGGATTGGTTGATGTGTGGTTGAGGGGCTGATTCTGATGATAATGGACATAAACTCTTCTAGGGTCATACCCAGAAAGAGAAGAAGGGTTGGGAGTAAACAGGGAAAAAAATCTAACTTTACCACAACCTGTTTGTGTAAGTTGCACAATACTCTAAGGGAAATGATAAGAAAAGTGAGAGTCAGGGGCTGAGACAGGCATAATTGCATAGTCTAATAAATTTGGAAGTCAAAAGCAGTGAGTGATGAGAGCAACAGCTGTTGTGAACAGGATGAGTGAGTATCATCATCTAAGAATCATGATTTTGAAACTCACCAGGAAGCTCTGAGCCCAGGAATAAGAGATTGATCTCTGAGTTTGCTTCTTATGTGTCTTTATGGAGAAATTAAGCTTAAAAAGAAATAATCTGTTTTGTAGCGTTGATTTCCTTTTTGCACTTAATATAAGTAGATTTAAGTTCAAAATATAAACTTAAATGTCCATTAGTGCAGCTATAATAAACATTAATCTGTTTATTTCTTAAGCAGCATGTTTCCTAGAGCTATTTCTTTTGCTCCTAACTCCACACTTTTTCATGTCAATCAAATTATCAGTAAAAATAATCACAAATTCTTTTAGAAACTAATTACGTATATGCAAATTAAAACAGTTTACCTCTTTGCTAACTTTATCTTCAAGATTTTTAACTGCAGTCAGTCCAGCATACTTCTGGCTCCATTAATTAGGTTTAGAATTCTTTACGAAGTATTAAGACGTAGAACTCAATGTTATTCTGCTGCTTCGCAAACAAGACCTATAAAATGGAGTAACATTCTGTCTTCAGATGCATTGGACTTTGTCCACTGCCTACTCTAAAAGCTTTACCTCCTTAATTTCTTATCTGCTCAGTTCCTCAGTTGGCACAGCGGGCTCCCCAAGTGATCTTGTTTTTAGTACTGGAGTATGTGCTGGAACCAGGTTGAATACAGAGCTGATAAAATGTGGACAAAAATTACATGAAGCAGACTGGAGGGTGGGATAGATACTTTTGAAATCTGTTACATGAACTCACTTCTTTCCTGAGAACATGAAGGGAACAGAGTGTAATTCTTCCAATAGAGAGTGTAAAAAATGAAGGCTTGCAAGATGTGATGCACGTTGCAAGGAAGCAAACTATTTCAAGCAGCAAGACAATTTTTACATGTTACTACAGCAGAGATAAAAATTTGTATTAACATGTATGCAATGGTTAATTTCTCTACTAATGTGTGTAATTTTATTTGTTTTCTATATATTTGCATTTCTGCCACATTGATGGAAATTAAAGGAACATTTGCAATGAAAGGGGAAAAACTAGTCTATGAATCTATATCATACTGTAGCTTATTAAATTGAACTGTGTGGAATCTACATTGCTGATTTGAACTGTTTCATGAAAAGAGAACCATTATCTCCTCTCTAGGTAGATAGTTAACTCCTTTTGATTTAAACAACTGCATTGGGAGAAGAGTAGACAATGTGTTTCTGGGAAGTTCACACCCACAGGGTTGCACTTTGTTTCTGCAGTCTGGATAGTTAAGAAAAAGTGCTGTTCTGAAAAAGAAAATGAAAGCAAAAGCTGAAGCTTGGCATTTTCTGTACTTGTTTTTTAAAGTAATTTTCAAATGCTTGTGTCTGTATTGCATTTTACGTGTAATGCTATTATTTCAGAACCTGTCCTGTGCCCCCCTACGCTTTTTCTCGTGCAGGGGGAGGTCTTGGGACAAAATTTTAGCTGGTTGATTTATAAACACCCAAAAAAATCCATAATTTATGTGCAAAGTGCTGGAACATCCTGAACCAAAGTGATGTCACTGGATAAGTCCAAGGTGGCTTAAGGTGGATAGAAGACAAGGCAGTTCTAAAGGAGAGAGAAAAGAATGAGGAGAATAACTGTAACTAAAGGTTCTTCAGCATTAGTTCCTTTCAATTGCTGATAGTCAGTAGAAATGTTTTCTCAAGCAAAATGCCCTTGGTTGTTGATTTTATGCATTCAACTTTCTATCTTACAAATCAACAAAGCAACACCTTCCTTTTGTTTTGGATATTTTTATTTTTTTTTCCTTAAAGGCAGTTACTTTTTCATTCATGTCTTTCATAGCCACAGGAATCTTTTCAAAGTAGGGATAGCTTGTCTGGTTTTCTTTCCTGTATGTTCATACCTCACTTCAAGTCAGTATGCTTCTGTGTGTTGGGAGAGACTGCAAGTTGCTGATTGTGTATAAGGTTGATTTTTATGTCATTTAAGTGGGATGAGTTCATCATGTTTTTCTGCATTTTAATTTCATTTTGGAAAAATAGGAAGTTGTTTATGCCCTATTGTGAATATCTTCTGAAAACCAATTTAATACTAACTTTTTTTATTGTGCAGAGCTGGTTATCTGCCGCAGAATATACCTTTGGAGATTATGAAGTATCTTTCAGAGGAAAAAGATTTCCTGCCTTGGCATGCTGCCAGCCGAGCTCTTTATCCTCTAGATAAATTGCTGGACCGTACAGAAAACTACAATATCTTCAATGTAAGAGATTGTCTTTCTCTCTTTCTTCCTCTAGTTCTTCCTTTCTTTCCCTCACTCTCTCCATCTGTCTGTTCTTCCTGCCTTTCTTCCTTTTGCCTCTTACTCTCTCATATTATTGCCAAGATTTGGACTGTTCCCCAGTCAGATACTGTAAATGACCTAGGGATATTAACTTCCTTCCTAATTACTCTTCATTTAAACATAGCAATTATCAAGCTTTGGTTCATTTGCATTTGAACAGTGATAACTGTTGTTTGAGGCATATATGACTAGGGGAAGGAAAGGTAATTATCCCTCATGAAAAATGTTATGACAAATAAAGTATTTCACTTAAAAGAGTCAAAGTACTCTATTTCCAGATTTTCTCTTTTTAGGAGCCCCACAGTGATACTTAGGTGGGTGCCCGAGATCAGCAAGAACAGCAAATATAGGCACAACTGAACCTGCAACTAAAGCAAAGATTTGTAGTCATTATTTCATCCCAAAATCCATGGTGAATTCAATGCAGTTACCTTAATTAACAAGAATTAGATCACCGTTGAGTCAAAAGCCCATTCATAATTGTGTCCAAAGGGATAGCAGTAATAGCTTGCAAAAGATAATTAAGATAGACATGGCAAATATTTTAACATTTACCTGTAGCTGCACTGAAGCATGGTTTATGAAGTACACAGGATTTCACTGGAGCCAATGACAATTACAAACTCTTGGGGTTTTTATTCACTATGAATTTTATGTAGTCTACATATTTTCAACAGCCAGCATACGGTAACTTTATGTAATGTTGTAAAGCCTTCAAATAAAGGAGGTTTTTAAAGCCTGAAATGCCTAAGGATGCTTTTTGCTTCTTAAATGTATATTTGTTTGTATGTATGTGACCACAGACACCATGCTCAGAGAGGTGAAAGTTAGAAGTCACTGTATGTATATATGTAGAAGTTAATACATATATGGATATATAGATACATACACATACACATATACACAGTTACCTGATGACATGGAAAATTATTTTTGTAGAACATATACTATGCCTACATGCAAACCATAATGTAAAATGCAGTTGAAATAATTTGCATATTTAGTCTGCTGTTAACTACAAAGAAAAATTCTTAGGAGTCTGCCATTGCTATTTCACTTTTAAACATGGTTGTGTAAGGAAAACACAATTTTAATAGATAAAACCAGTAAAATTCACAACTGGGTGATGTTTTATCACTACTGATGGGAGTTTTGAAAGCTGAGGCGATAGCAGAGGAAATAAAAAGTCTTTTTAGTCAAAGAATAACATATCTGGTAGAGAAAGCTGCAGTATGAATCTTCTTTTGTGTTGACATATATACATGCCTATGCATCTGTAATAATAAAATAGATGCTCTCCTATGCAGTTCTGTATATCTCAGTTCTATTTTTCAAATTGGCGAATTCCACTGGAAGAAGATTACAATGACAATGGTTTTCTTCAAAACTGGTCAGAATATGTAAATGTGTCCTCTGTGTAAAAAGTAGAAGTCAGTAAAATATAACTTGTGCTTATTTTGTTCCTTAAGCACACCAGGAGCCTAAACTTAAAGCACAGTGTCATTAAGTGTACAAAGCTTATTTGCAGCCACATTGTTATATATTCTGAAGTTAATTGACTGTACTCACATAATGTTTTTGCCATGGCTATGGATATTAAAACAGTGTTCTTTTAAAAGTGAACATGCACAGTTTAGTCAAGATTGGCCACAAAGTAGAAATTAAGCTATTGACACCCTTGTAATTTTTCAGCTGTGCATTGTGAGTTCAAAATAGCATGTAATAAAATTTTGAAATTCATGGATTTTATAACAATATATTGTCTTATACTAGGCATCTAATCAAGATTGCTTCTTACTATAGCAGTGAAGGAAGATTATAAGTGGATAAGTAGCTTTGCTTAATCTTTGGAACTGGACATTATTTGAGGATACACAGAGAAGACTGAACCTTACTAGTCAGCAATATTTCAATTTTAAGTAAAATAAATGATTTTTAATGTTAAATATACTTTTCTTTTTCTCCTCAGGAGTATATATTAAGACAAGTGGCATCAATGTATCTGAAGCTTGGATGGCCAACGAACAATTTAAACAAATCACTTGTTCAAGCATCATACCAACATGAGTACTGTTATATTTACTTTTTAATTATTTATTTGTGAAATATAATTACATAAATGCACCCTCCTAAAATTTAATCATGTTTAGCATAAATCAGTCATAATTCCTTAGCTGGGTCACCCTTCCATTTTTTCCTTCCTGGGTTGCAGGGAGAGCAGAAAGATGCTGTGAGATTAATTTTTCTTTCTTAAGTTAGGACAACATGGTTTACTAAGCCCTAACTTAATATCTGACTCCACTGGATTTCTGAGAACTTGCACCACATGTGACTGCAGAGGTTGGGAAGAGTGCCTAAGTGTAAATGGGGTCTGGTTTTGATCCATGACCTTTCTTTAATTGTTGTAGGCATTAAACTGACACTGCGATTTGTAAAGCCAGATTCTCTTTGGTATGTTTCCCATCTACTGTTTGCTGTCACTGTTATAAGAATAGTTTTTTGTAAACATTGAAACACATTTGTTAATGCAGCCTTATTGCTTTTTTTAATTTGGACAGAGAGTTGCGTCGGGAAGTCATCATGTTGGCCTGCAGCTTCGGGAACAAACACTGTCACCAGCAGGCTGCAACGTTAATCTCTGACTGGATTTCTAGCAATAGGAACCGGTAAGTGGAGCTGAAATGTGCATCTCACATTTCTCCTACTGAGAGGCAGTACAGCTCTTCCTTTCCTGCCTGCCCTGTCTGCTGTGCCCTGTTTTGCAAAGGTTTTTTTTTTTACAGGAGGAAGAAGAGGCTGCTGGCTGTCATTTAAAAATGTCTGTGGGGCTTCAGAATGAATTATTTGACTTTGCATATGAGTTGGTGGAGGGGATCTGCCCACTCCTGATAAATTACTGTTGGATAATTCTATGCTAGAAGATGAGAAGATGGGTTTTAAGGATGGATTTAAAGAAAGAAAGATGAGTGAACACCATCTTGTCAGATATTCATGAAACCTGTGTTGGGGTAAGAGAGCAGAAGGTGCTAAACATTTAAAGAAGTGAGAGAGGTTAGAGACAGAAGGACTGAGAAGTAAGGAAGGAGATGTGTTGAAAATTAATGTAATTCAGGAATACATGGAAAAGCTCATGTAGGGTTTCAGAGAGCAGATAATATTAGAGCCGATGCCTTGAGCATCAGCAGCACTGTAGTGGTTTGACAGCAAATATGTTAAGTTAGGCTGTCAAGACACAGGTTTATTCAGCTGAGGCAAAGGGACATGGGGCATGGATAGTGTATGAAGTTTATCTTTTAAAGGAAAGCATCTAAGAAATATGAAATAACTGAAATTTCAAATATTTATGTAGTGATCTATGGACAATGAGATGAGTGTAGAGTATAGGTTAGGACCACAACTTCTTTAGAAAGAATAGTGGATTTTCTGATTATGTGAAATATTTGCACTGTACACATTTGTACATGGCATGATATTTTGATTTAAAAGAGAATATTTTACTTTCAAATACAAAAGAAGAAGATAAGATAAAAAGTCTCTCATTTTTAGTTGCAGTCTTGTATTAGCTCAGCAAAATGATCAGATCTCTGTAGCCATACAAGCAAGCAGGATTTTTCAGAGAGTTCTTGGACTTTCGGTGTTTGTTTGCAATTAATTTATCTCTGTCTGTCTTTGTAATCTTTAAAAATCTTTTACAGGCATACACAGTTACATAAGTATCCAAGGGTGTTTTAAAACCAGCCATGAAGGGAAATTATTTTCCTATATGGCTTTGAAACTTCTGGGAAAAAAATAGCTTGAAACCATGACTATGTAGCTTTAAGTAAGATGTGTGTGAGGTGAAGGGTTTTCTTGTGTAAGGTGATACCAGATATATTTACTATGAAATATATACCCCAGGGTTTTATATGAATTCTTATCATAAGCAGCAACAATCAGTATGAAGCTATTCAAAGAGGCAATTAAAGAGAAAGAATCACTGGAAACAGTCTGCAAAAGTAATTTACTTAGATATTCATTTGCAAAATTAGTTAATCAAACCTAGCATTACCTATTAGCATGCACAGCAGTAGATTATTCAGTGTTAAAAAAGCTGTCACCCTGCAAAGCTACCTGCCTGTGTCTTTCCAATAGGATTAAGAAAGGAGGCATCAGAAAAAAAAAAACATAACAAAACACAAGCTTATTGCTCTGCTAACAGTAGCAAGAGAGAAAAAGAATAAATTTAAGGAGCTGTCTAAAGATTCATCTTAGCCTTTCAATGGGGCCATTTCGGTAGCAGAAGATTGTGGTTGCCAGCATATGATGAGTATTATGATAAAAGCACCACAGCAGGGCAGAGGAGAATAGCTACTAAGTTAAAGCAATATGTTTCTCAAAGGAACTGCACAGTTTTGAAAAATGGCTGCAGCAAATAATATAATTACAGAATAGAGATTGACAGACAGCCGATAAATAGGAGGACAATTGGCAAAGAAGAAAGAGACACAGTTTCATTTATTTTTTAAGATTGTAGGATTTGTTGAGTCCCTCACTCCAGAATTTCTCAGTTTTCTCAGAGCAGTCTCACATCCTGAATGTAACTAATATATGAGCAAAACTCATTTCCTATCTACTTACATTGAAACAACATTAAAAAAACTACCAGTAATAGCAGCTCAGTAAGCATAAAATCAGCTTGTGTTTCACAATAACAGCATTTGCAGGGTATGTCAGCGTTGTCTCAGGAATGTTCAGATCCTGTTGAATCAGGCCTATCCTGTAGCACCTTTACTCATTTTAAGCTAACTTGGACTGAAACCTGAAAGTAAAGCAAGGGCTCTTTTTCCAGCTTTTTTACCAAGAAACCGATGATTCCACAATCATGACTTAATTAGCATGGTGTTTGAGTCATGCTTCTGCCTCTTCTAGCACTTCAGAGACAGTAACTAGCTCAAGTGCAAAGGGCAAGCAGATAAGTACAAGATATATGCAGAGAGCACATCTAAGAGGTGCCATTTTCTATTCTTTGTCATCAATCAAGTGTTTTGCTCAGTTTGATGCCCTTAACAGCTGTTTGTAAATTTGCTGCAAACAGCCTCCTCAGAACCTGTAAGATTCTCTCAGAGCTTGTTTCCTCACAAAGAAGGAAAAACTCATGCTGCTCCTCTTTCTCTAGACTTCTCTGACAACAGTGAGGAAAGCTGGTGACAGATACAGAAACTCTGTGTATCCTTGCCTATTCCATTCCTTATCAGCAATTACTATAAATGGTCTTGGGTTTGCCATTCCCTCTTCTGAAAAAGAACCATGTAATTGGCTGATGATTATAGAAAGCTTGGTTTTGGTGGGTTTGCATAGCTAGAGCACAAAAACAGAGTTCCAGAGAGCTGAGAGATAGTTTTTTATATAGATGTAATTTGAGTGTTTACTGTGACAGTAAAAATAAATGCTAATTTGAGACATATACACCCATCCCCTCCCAGAAACTTTATTCTGGAAGATGGCACAAATTTTTCAAAGCAGTAGAGACAATGGAGAATTAAGTTTGTGTCTCAAGATTTATTGAAAATTGCTGAAAACTAAGTCAGTATTAAATTAAAATGTGATATTAAATACCACATAAATGCACAGTTGGTAAATCATATAAGGGAGGTTTTTGATGCCCTGGCAGTTACTGCATTAAACTCATTCAAGTTGAGATCCTATAACAGAGAACGTGCTATTAATAGAAGGAATTGTTGAAGAAATGCTAACATTCATAATTTTTTAGCCACATTTTTAATTTACTACTTTTTAGATGTTCTGTTGAAATGTTTTTTCTGTTTTACTTGTAATATTTAATTTTGGATAAAGTGTCAGGTAGTACAATAATATCTAACTCTGTTTTACTGGCAAATGTTTACAATTGCTGTGGTTTTTAGTAATTACATTTAATCTGCTAAATCCAGAAATGAATTACCATCTACTTTTCACTATAGGAAAGTGAAGTAATCATGATACCAGATACTGTTTATATTTAGTAATTACATACTCTTTACTGCGCAACTACTTTGCCACTGTTCACTAAGTAAAATAATAGTCATTCTTAGCACAAGGCCAGAGGTCCTCTTTGTATTTTACTGTTTGAAAAAGCCATTAGATTTCCAACTATAATGCTGCAAATTTTCTTCTGGAATTAGTGAAAAAAAACCAGCTTATATGTGATTTACAACACTAGCCTCTGTGCATGAAAGTGGAAGTCGGCTGAGAGGCTGTGAAGAGTCAAATTTCTAAAGTGATTTAGGTATTGCTTCATTTTTGGATGACTGGCCCATAGGGCAGGATCAGACACTTCCTACTGAAGAGTTATGCTTCCTACTGGGGGATTTGGGGGCCTGTAAAAATGCAGCTGGCAGCAGCCACTGTGCTATGAAGAGCCTCTTAACATGAGATTCTGAAGTGTGAGTGGGCCCTCTTGGGGTCCAGCACTACAGGTAGTAGGAAAGATACCTTTATCAAATGAATACATAAATGGTAATTGTAGAGTATGGGGGTCCTTGCAAAAGATGCCTTTCCATATTGTCACTAAAGCAGGAAAAGGACTGCTCCTTTTCTTTCCCAGCCCAGCTGGCAGAGAGGCTGCTTTTCAACACCATTTCAAACATTAGTGCTGAGGTTCAGCAGTTTGCTGTGCTTTGGTTTAGTCCCTTGGCCCTGTATCTGCCAATGCAGAAAGCAAGCCTGACGACCTGTCTGTGAGATGTTTGGGACAGTATTAAGATGGTGCAACACACTTTCCTCCTCTAGCTTCAGCTCAGCCACTGGAATCTTTTTCACTAGCATGAGAAATGATACAGCTCTCCAGTCTAAAGTTGAGAGAGCATTCATCTGAGGGAAAAGGGGCTTCAGTTCCTGAAATACCAGAAATACTTAGTGTGCAAGGGGCTTTAGGTGGTATTGCTCATGGCCACTTTTTCAGGGCAAAATGCAACAGAAAAAAAAAGCATAACTGAGAAAGGAATTTGTTTGTACAAGGAGCAAACCAAACACATAGCACCAGAAACAGAAGAGACTGTGAAGAAGGACAGTCTTGTTTTGCTGGTTTAGGAATTGATATATTTTAATTCTTGCAGTTGTTAAAAAAATGGTCATTATTTCTTTCTACTGAAGATGTGAGGTAAGATCTCAAAGTAGGTCTTGCAGTGTTCTAATCAATGAGTTTAAGTATTTTTACTCTTTTTTAAATGGTTGATTGCTTGAAGGGCTATATTTATTTCTGACTTGAGGTTGATATTAAAACAATAATTTTCACACTTTTAAATTGGGATATAGACTGCTTCTGTATTAGAACAATGGGAACCCTTGAAACTTTCATGTTGATGTTCAGAGAAATATGAACAGAGTAGAAAACATATAACCATGTGGAAATATCCCTTGTAGTTTGAGAACGTAAAGTTAACTGGGATTCAGTCAACAGCAGAATGTTGTACAAGAGAAGCCACTGTTGGCTGAAAATAGAGATGTTTGCTTCTACCCTCATTTGACTGAGCTCATCCCTGTGAAGCTTTCATGTATGAAGAAATACATTATTCACACTCCTTAGATATAACAGCACTGTGGTTCAGCCTAAAAAATTAACAAAATTACCATTCAATGCCTGCCTGAGCTTAATAATCAGCCTTGTTAACCCCTTTAACCTTCACTGCATCTATTCTGAAAGAAAAACATGTTTCTAAGAGGATTAGCATTTTCAGACTTCTTGCCTTGAATAGGTTGAGTAAACATGTATTTCTGAAGTTCAGGAAAGAATGCATGGAGAGCTGCTATATGTAAACTCCTGACAGGCGATAACAGGGGGGTAATATTTAAATAGACACCATGATGACTCAAAGAATAACTTACCCATAGACAGGAGCATGTTTTTGCAGACATCTCTGTGGGTGCAGGCACAGTTATCTTTCAGCTACTCTTACCATACATCAGCTGCAGGTTGCCACATATACATCTCTGCTGGCAAAGTTGACTGTGGATGTATGCTTGCTTGGGGCAAAGTTAAACAGGGTGATGTAAACGTGAATATGTGAGAGAGCTGCTTTGATTTAAGACAGCTGATTTTGCCTTCAGCAGAAAAAGGAATACTTGTATTCTGATTGTGTTAGAGCTGTGGTGACACTGTTCTTCTGCTGGCATGCAGCACTGAACAGTGGGAGATGATAGTATTGCATCAGACACAGTTATGTGCAGATGTTCTGTGAGATGTTACTGGACCTGTTGGAAGATCCCAGCTAGGCATAACCATTTTTCTTTGCTCTGATTTTAAAATTTAGAAACTTAGCCATTGCTATTTATTGCTGTCTTTTATATGGAAACAAAGTACTTTAATTAATTGTCTTAATACCTCTAGAAAACTTGAATGTATTTCACTGAGACTGATGTCATATCACTTTGGGGTGATTTTAGCTTTAATGCAGTATTTACTATTACTCTTCTGTCGCAAGCACTCTGATCAGTTTTGATGTTTGCAGTGGGGAGTGCAGGCTGCTACACTGAATTAGGCTAAGCCAACATCCATTCTGTAACCCATGGGTTGACGAAGTTTGCATTTTTCTGTCTTTGTGAATGAGGAGAATTAGAGTCCGATGGACGATTCTGAATGCAAATGCAGGTATTTTAAAACTGTTCTGGTCTAATCATCCAGATTGTTCTGAGAAATCTTGGAGTGCAGAAGTGAGGCCATGTTATAGGACCAGTGGGAGCTTCAAATTTTGGCAACAGTTTTAATTTAAGAAATCAATCTGGCCCGCAAGTACTAAGGATGGCAAATCAGATCTATTTTAATAAAATTCATTATTTATTAAACAGATAGAAGGTAACAGGCAAAATATCTTAATCAGAGTTACTTACTGCACAGTATAGAACGAAAAGGAACTACTAGTAGATTACAGCATGACATAAGCCAGTGCACAATATCAAGGTACCTATATTAAAGCTAGCAGAAGAAATAGTATTGATTAGGACTCAAATGTAACTTACCACCAAAATTATGATTCCTTCAATCTCTGTGGGAGTAACCGGGAAGCAGGCATCCCTACTCATGGGAAAAACTCCATACATTTCCATGAAATGCATCGAGCATTTCTGCTTTGTGAGAGTTTGGTGTAGTTTTCATACTTTGTAAAGTGAGATGTCTGTCAGTGAGAAATCCAGCTAATCTCCCAGATCTCATGTCGACATTAAGATGCTTATTGGCAGTTGGGAGATGCCAGACCAGTGTTAAAACCCTGTGGTGCCAAAATAACTCTCTACAAGAGAGCTGTTCCTGTTTCAGTTATCTTACTGGTTGACAGGCAACGGGCAAGCTCTTGTGAGGGGTAAGATGTCCTGCTACAGACCAGAGATCACTGAAAAGAGAGTAAGAGGTGAACTTTCCTGTTCTGTCTGTGGGTTTCAAGTCAGAACACCTTCGTGTGTTGTTTGCATTACAAATGAACAACTTTTGGTTACTAAGTAATGAAATCAGGATCTTACATCTCTGCGTACTAATACTAAGCAACCTTATCTAATTTTTTAAAGTATAATAATGTAGATATGGGCTTTTTCAGTTACTTCTGTTTGCCATTTCACTTCTGTCATGATGCTGTGATGGTTAGGAACATTGGTTTATCACAATACTTTATCATCTTAAGAAAGGTGTAAATAATGAAGTAAATGTCTTGAATCACATAATTTCAAGGACAATGATAAACCAACAAGCCAAGTTTGTGAGTCATGAACCTCCACACTTACTTATGCAGATTTTGTGTTTTCTCTACAAGGAATAATGGATTCATGTCCATCCACCTGCCTGAGTTGTCAGTGTGCTTATTTGGCTGCACTTTAACAACTCAGTGGAAATGCCACCAGAAAAATAATTGTGTGTATAGGAGTGTGTTGCATGTCTATAAACAAAACTCCCCATAGAACTGAGGGAGTAGTAGTAAATAACAAGTTACCATTTATTAGTTGAAGCTATTTCAACAAAGTCTGGTTTAGGTGATAGAAAAACAAAAGTTCTTCCAAACAAGCATTTTTTCTTTCCTTTTCTTCCTCCTTTATTTCTGTATCTAATTACTTGTGGTAGATAATCTTATTTCTGTGTTTCACATGGACACAGTAGTGCTACTGTCTTCCAACAACTTAAAAATGTGCTTAAGTTTTACCGCCTACATGAGTATTTTTGTGAACATGGCCAACAGGTTAATTACTTTTGTTAGCTTCTTGGAAGAGGCACTGGGTTCTTTCAAGGGATTGATGCCTAGCAGCTATTTTTGGAAATTGTTAGCAGCAAACATGAAAAAAATGAGAGTTATTTTAATTTTTTTCACACATGAGTGTCTGATAAATGTAAAAAATTAAAGTGAATCCCTTCTTCTGTGTTTGAAACCCCTAGAAGTTTTAATTACTGAAAAAAATCAGGCATAGCTATTCATGCATTTTGAAATGTTTCTGGAGCTTTGCCAGGTAATGTAAGCCAATGTTGCTGAAGTGATTTACTAATTAATAGGTTGTTACAACATTTGAGTAGAATCTTGCACTCAAGTCAATAAAACTTAAGGAGGAAGAAAACACTGTTGAGTGTATGAGTTATTCAAGGACTTAGCACTCTGAAAGACCATCTGGGTCTAAACAGAGAGAGGACTTCATCTTGTAAATGATAAAGCTGAGTATTATGGGGCAGCTGTGGTTATGGTTCAGGCAGTGTTTTTACCTTCTGACTTCTGTGTGTCACCACAGTAAAATGACTCTATATGCAATCATTATGGATTAGCAGTAATTAATTTGAAATCCTTAGAATTTAGATAGATTAGTCTCCAGTTTTCTCATTCAGGGATGGTCTCTCCACAACTATGCAAAACAAATGATCAGAAACAACCATATTTTTGTTGTCCAAAACAAAAAAAACTGTCCAAAATGGACAAAGGCATACCTACTCAGAGATCAGTGCCACAAAGAAGTATTTCACTCATTACTCAGTCATTAAAATCAGTGTTGAAGAGCTTGACTATGCTGGTTGCATGCTCACTTGTGGGGTATCTGCAGTAGGAGTGGGAAGGAGCAATCCAGTAACCATCACTTGAGGGATGATGTATTCTCTGCCAGCCTCTGATGTATGTAATACCTGAAACTCAGGAGCACAGGACAGGAACTGTGCATAGCTTTGCCCCAGATGCCTTGAGTAGCCACGTCCTCAGTTAATGTCCCCTGAATCTGAGGTGGGACAGGCACCTGAATGTCAAGCCCATCACAGCTCTGTGGCTGGGTTTTCAAAGGGGAGTTCTGCCCTGTCTCTTTAGACCTGGTATGTGCTATGGCAGAGGATCATCCCCTCCTCTTTCTGTGCGATAACGCCAGCAGCATGACTCCTGGAGTTTGTAATAGAGAATGGGAGTAGAACATTTGGGATTGAAGTTTTTAAAAATAAGCTGTATGATACTCTTCTTTGTAATAGAATCTGTATTACAGATCTGCCAATGAATTACTAATGCTTCATTCTTGTTTCTTATCTGAGCCTTGTAACCTGTTAAACAAGATTATGAATATAGTCATCAAGAAAAATAGGCTTAAGTTAAATGTTAAATTGTTGCAAAAATAAGAATAATGCTTGTGATTAATTTTCTTTGTCAAATGGCACCCTAAATGGTGTTGAAACTTGTTACTTAATCAAAGAACTGTCTAAACTGTGTGCATTTACATTTTAAAGAATTGGAACACAATTTCCCCAGAAGATAAATAATTATGGTCCAATTTTATAAGTGTATCTTCAATTGTTAGAACATACTTTAAATAGGAGCAAATATGTACCAATTAATTATGACTTAGAACATTATTTTTAGCTCATTGTAGAGCCTTATAATTCACTCACGAAAAAAAGAAATCCCTGTAAAGGCACAGCACGATTTTAATTAATTTTTTTGTAACTGTTTAATTTTTAACTTTTTCTCCCAAAGTGTTTAATTTTTAAATGAGCTCGGCTAGCCACATATTTCATTCTCACCATCTTATCTCTAATGCAAGAAAAATAAAGTTAAATAAATTGGATCAGTATTCAAATTAAAGCCATTTAAAGTGATGCTCTTAAACGTTTATTTTTATTCTTCTGAAGTATTCATCAATCATATTAGCTCTTTTAAAATGAGAGCAGCCTTGAAGGCACAGATGAGGTTTTACTGACAACTGGATGTGTTCTGCAGTGTTACAACCCAAGCAGTACCAAAATAATGGTAATTTTATTCACTTGATTTGGTTAATACAAGGGGCAAATGCATCCACATGCTGATCTAGTGCCTTGGAACTGCAATTTTCCGGGAACCTATAATAGTAAAAAACTTGTAGACTGGAGAGATTTCAGCTATTTAGATAATGATAGAATATGTGCCCAAAATGACTGGACAAGTAAGAAAGCAAAAATCCCCACAAATGGACAAAATTCAATTAGTGGACTCTCTGTAGGGTCAATAGTTAAAGAGAAATTACTTTGGGGATATTTTGAGGATATTCACATTTTCATACACAATTTTCATTTCTACAAGAGGAACCCCCCTGTCTACAGTGCTGATTGCAAGCCTCTCACAGGAGTAGTTTGTAGTGTTTCATAGCCGTACATTTTGTAGTTTCTGAAGGTGAGCCTTTTAAAAGCAGTATTTATGGTCAATGTCTTGGTTTGTAGGGTCTAATTTTTTTTTCACATTGTCCTCATTACTTAGCTTATAGGTACATACCTAAAACCTTCCCTGGAACAGTTGATTGGATGACATTGATTAGATCTGCTGCAGCACTGCCAGTATACTACTATTGGTATGGGGGCAGTAGAGTTTTCTTAGCAAGGAAAATGGTGATGTCTAGGCTATGGTCATGGGATCAGCTATGTCACCTGTCATAAGGTCTCCTTCCTTCCCAGAGATGCAAATGATCCTGTGCTTACTGACTACACTGCTGCTAAAATTGCTGGTGTTGGCCCTTAGAATGTAAATAAATGGACTAGCTGGGAAAGTCCATTGAATTGATATATTTTATTGCAAATTTTGAAAACTGTAAACATCACAAGCGAGGAGTGCTGTCTGTTCTGGGGTTAGACATCCACTTCTAGGCACATCTTCTGCTGTACTAGCCAAACACAGAGTGACAGTCCCTCCAGCCCACTGTTCCTACCTAAAGTAATGGGACAGTGGTACAAATGTTTCAACTTCTATGCTTTTATAGGAAACATAATCAAAGTAGGAAATTGAAAACCCAGCTGAGACCTTGTTAGAAGAAAACTACATATGCACACACTATACTAGGTCTGAACTTGGTCATTTAACTGTAGTTTGAGTTGATACTAATTTAGCAGTAATCACAGCTCTCAACCACCCCATTGCACAACTGGTAGTACTGGTATTATATGGTGAAAATAGAAAGAACAAATCTTTCTGTTTTTCTCCACTCCCAACAATATCATGTGTAAGTATCACTGTCACAGCACATCCTTTCTTACTTATATATTACTATATGAAGATGAAGCACTTTCTAGCACAAGCAAGGAGGAGTTTCTGGCTGCTCAGGTCATGTTGTAAAGCAGTGCAAAGGACAAGAAGAGCAGATTTGGCACAGAGCCCAGCAACAGAGTGATAAGATCCCCTACTAATTTGGAGAGCCTATGTTACCTGTAGGTTATGTGGCACATTATGACTTGATGAACTACATGACCATAATTTATAGTCTCCTGAAAATGTGACAGCATTATGAAGAGAATGGCAAGCATGTGTTACCCTTTGGAAAGCCCATTAGGATGGTCTTAGGGGATGCTAGTGGCAGTAAAGAAATGCAAATGTTATTTAAAAAAAACAACACATTACTGTTGGACAATAATTTTGAAGTCTCAGAAATTATCCTCCTTTGTATTCAATATCAGGAGGCTGTTTATTTACCACAATCCTATTACTGATTTCTTTTTTAGAATACCTCTCAATGTGAGAGACATTGTCTACTGTACAGGAGTTTCACTGATGGATGAAGATGTATGGGAGTTCATTTGGATGAAATTTCATTCTACCACAGCAGTGTCCGAGAAGAAAATACTATTAGAAGCCTTAACTTGCAGTGATGACAGAAACTTGCTCAACAGGTAAAAAATATTCCATATTTGAATCTGTTACTAATAATCACTTAAACAATTACGGATCAGCACTTGCACTTTCATCTTAAGAAAGAAATTTGTGTTTCAAGTACAGGCTTACTGTCTGTATAAATCATCTTACACTTTTGCATCAATGCATATGAAAATTGACACATACTACCTTTTCAATTCTAGATTTTCATTTGTTCATTGGAAATGTTTAAAATCCTGTAATTGTTATTTTTTTTTTTTGTTACTATGTTCTTTATTTACCATGTCTTGACCAATCTGATCTTAAAGATTTTATAAAAGTGCACATGTAAAGTTGCAATCAGCTTTTATTGAAATAATTTTACATCAAGATTTTTCTGATTTATAAATGTGTCCCGTCCTTGGAATCATAGAAATAAACCACTGAACTCACTTGGAGACTTAAACAAGTTGGAAGTGATCTTTTTTTTCCAAGAATTTTCTGATGGACTGATGTTAGACAATGTGTTTGTGAAACTAAATGTTCTTGTTTCTCCCACTAGACTTTTGAATTTGTCTCTCAACTCAGAAGTTGTCCTGGATCAGGATGCAATTGATGTGATAATCCATGTAGCTCGAAATCCACATGGAAGGGATCTTGCTTGGAAGTTTTTCAGAGAGAAGTGGAAAATACTAAATGCTAGGTAAAGATAAAAATTTTTAATTTATTTTCATTTTCTTATCTTGATATAATCGGTGTAAGTATTGTATAGGTGTTTATTTATATAAGTTCCTGAATCTAGTCCATTCTCTTTTAATCCATAAATGGAGATGTCTCTAAATATGGAATACCTACATATGAGTCATAAATGCATTTATTCATGGATTATCACACACACGCATAGAGACATTTGTCTCTTAGCAATCATCTGTATATATATTAGTGTATTGTGTCTATGCTTATGATAATGAATTCTATCTATATGTCAAGTGCTGCAGTTCTGTTTTTATATAGATAAAAAACAGCAGTTCCCGAAGGAGTTTTTCTGATTTAAAGTCTGATAGGAAAAATTATCTTTTCAAAAATATGATTTCAGCTGTGGGAAAAATGCACCTTTTCAAACATTTCCATTTTCAAAAGGATGTTAATATAGTGTCATCCCCTTTCTTTCCATTCAGTGTTTCAGGTGAGTTTCAAGTAATAGAGGAGCAACATTTTGAATTAAAAATAGATTAACAGAAAGGACACAAGGTTGCTCCTTACACCTGCTTCTCTTTCTCTTTGAACAAGTGCTACGTGCTCCTACTCTGAAGCCCAGTCAACATTTGAAAATCCGTTTTGATGAAGATTTTGATATTAATTCAATGAGTGACAAATTTCTGTAGTTCTTTAGGGACAGCCTGAGGACTTGAAAGATTGCACAGCAGCTCATCTGATACTGACAGATTAAAAAGGACTACAACTTGGATGAGGTTCAGATTCTCAAGGCAGGTGTCCAAGATTTTAAGGCATCCCATGCCAGGTCACACCTTTGGTGTTGGCAGGGAAGGCATTGCAGATCTGTTCCATTCTGGACTTGTGAGGAGTCAACTGTTGTACTACAGAATATTTGAAACAGAAGATTTAAGATGCTGTATTTAAGCAACTAAATCCCAGTGCCCAATGAATACAGGTGCAAACTTCCTATAGGTTTCACAGCATCAAAATAAGAGTCAAATTGAGACAGAGTTTTAGTTTTCCTAAAAATTCAGAAAGCTGTGTTGGATAATACTTTATAATATAGTGAGGTTTTAGAAAAAATTCATCTGGGAAAATAGGTTTGAGCTGGAATTAGTTTTGGAAATTTATATTGCAGGAGCATACTTTTTGAAAGTAATTTCCAAAAAAGCTTCAAGAGTGCTGAAGAGTTTAAAAATCAAGAATTATCTGCTTTTGGTGTGATTATTCCAGGAACTGGACTTTTACACAGAAAGTGGATGGCAGATATATTACTATTATGCAACCCAGTGCAGATAGCAGATGATTTTTCAGGTTCCTCCAGGGATTTATCCAGAGTTTAGGCATAAAGCCATCACAATCTGTATTGCTACAAACACATATGCTGTAGTTGTGTCCTGCCTTAGTAAGTATGTTTATCTGACAAACTGGCTAATACCTGTGATTTTAGATGTGGACAACATTAACCAGTGTAGACAAGTATTAAATATTTAACAAACTCTGCCACATGCCAAATCTTTTGGGTGTTACAATTTTAAATAGAATCTGGATTGTATTTATTTCACTTCCTTGGAATGCATCACTGTGCAATCTAAATTCATAACAATCATCAACGACCTGTTACTGTCCTTTTTTTTTAAATGAGAGAATAACAGAGAGTTTGTCATTTTTCTCAACACTGTCTTTGTCTTACTGTCATTCAGTTTGATCTCCCAACATAAGTTAGAACCACCAGAAAAAATGTCGCAGTTGATTTTTTTTCTAAAGTGGCATCCAGTTGAGTTTCTGTTGATCACAAAAAGATTCACTGCAGTGAAATGAAATAGTTAATGCAAGCTGTACATACGTGTTATATATTGAAAATAACATTGGTTTGTAATCATAGATTAGAATCTTTTAGATGAGAGTGAGAGAGAATAGAATCAGTCTAATTAATACCTTGCCCCTTACCTGTTCAGTGAAACAGTGACATGATAGTATGCAGGGTCCTACACCTGGGTCTTGGCAATCCCAGCCACACCCACAGGTTGGACAGAAAAGTGATTTGAGAGCAGCTCTGCGGAGAAGGACTTGGGGGTGATGGTTGATGAAAATGTCAACGTGACCTGGCAATGTGCCCTCACAGCCCAGAAAGCCAACCCTGGGCTGAATCCAAAGCAGCGTGGTCATCAGGTCAGGGGAGAGGATTCTCCCCTCTGCTCTTGTATGACCCTGCCTGGGAGCTGTGTAAAGTTCAAGTGCCCAGAGTATGAAGAACATGGAACTGTTGCAGCAAGTCCAGAGGAGGGTCATAAAGTTGGTAAGTGGACTTTATGGTACCTCCCCTACAAGGATAGGCTGAGGAACTTGGGGCTGTTCAGTCCAGAGAAGAGAAGGTTGCATGGAGACCTAATAGCAATATTCCAGTATCTGAAGGGGCCTACCATGAAGTCAGAGAGGGGGACTTCCTCAGGAGCTGTAGTGATAGAACAAGGAAGAATGGGTACTAATAGAAGATAAAAGTTAGATATTAGGAGGAATTTTTTTACTCGGAGACACTGGAACTGGTTGTTCAGGGAGGTTGTGAATGCCCCACCCTTTGGCAGGATTCAGAGCCGGGTTAGATAAGGCCTTGAGCAGCTTGGTCTAGCAGGAGGTATCCCTGCACAAGAAGGGGTGGGGGTTGGGATGGGATGATCTTTAAGGTTTATTCTAATCCCTTAATGTTCTGTGATTCTATGTTCTATTCTGTGGCGTCTGATTAACCGCTACTGCGTTTTTAAAACATAAGCTTTATTTTGGAATTATGGTTCAAGAAGAACATGCATGTCTTGGAGTAAGAGCCAAGGACAGTCACAAAGGTGATATGATAGCTATATAACATAGTATCTGACCTATGAAGACAGGCTGAGAGAGTTGGGAATGTGCAGCCTGGGGAAGAGAAGGTTCTAGAGATACCTTATAGCACCTTCCAGTACATAAAGGGTCCTTACAGGAAAGCTGAAGAGGGACTTCTTAGAAGGCCATAGTGATGAAGGGAAAACGCTACAAACTGATGAGGGCAGGTTTAGATTAGATAATAGGAAGAATTCCTTTACTGTGAGGGTGGTGAGGTGGTGTTGGATAGGACTTTGGGCAACCTGGTCTAGTGAAAGGTGTCCCTGCTCATAGCAGAGGGATTGGAACTGGATAATATTTCTAACCCAAACCCTTCTAGGATTCTACGATTCAAGTTGATTTTGTCCCAAGGCATCCTTTTTCTGCAATTATAATTTATTACTTAATTTTATTCAAAATTAAAATACTTTGTATCAAACATTAATTTAATAAGGTGATATCTCAGTGATATTTTCAATTTAATTTAGTATAGAAAGTGTTGATGTTTCAGATAGTAAACTGAAATAGCTGAGGAGGATTAAATTATAACTATGTTTCCTCTTAAACACAGCATGTCAAGGAGTTAGAATTGCCCCAAAATATTTTTAATCCTTCATATTTTTACAGGATGCTTATATTTGCATTGTCCAGTATATATTGATGATGTATAAAGTCTTCAAAGTCACTCATATAATTTGCACAGGTGACTTAGAAACTGAGGTGCCTAACAAGTCTTTAGTAAGAAATCTGTGTGACTAAGACTGCTACAACTCTGAAAAAGAGAATTGAAAGTACTATGCTTGACTTCATGTTACCTGAGCATGCACTACCTTGTCTCCTAAAGCATTTTCATCCTGTGAGCACATGTCTGTGTGTGAAAATTTAATACATCAGCTGCCTATAAGAATTACTTCATTCTCAAGTGCTGAATCATTTGTCAGCATTTGGGAACTTGACAGTATTTGGGAAGGCATTTATATCTGTCCAAAGTAAATGGACTATGCTGCCTCTAGAGATTGCACAAGTGCAAAGCCTATACAAAATGTGGGGCACTGGGAGGTTTACATCTGCAGTAGGAAAGGTGCAGTGGAGAGTCTGTGTCTCCAGAGTGTTTCCAGGAAGTTCAGTGGTGGTTTTTCTGGTTCTGGTGTGCTGTTGTCTTTCCTGTCAAGGGTGAGAAGACTGACACTTGTAAGACCAAACACTTTTCCTATTTATTCTTATGTTTCACACCTGCAGAATACTATTTTGGAAGGTGACTCTTCTAGCTTTTTTGCCAGCAGAGCTTCTATAGAAATTGCTGTAAATGACTGACTTTTTACCAAGTATACATAATGGGCAGTAATCAGCACAGGTATGCATGAAGGTATCATTTTTAGTGCAAAGAATTCTGTTACTTCTTGTTTGCACTGTGGTGGCTACAGTAGACTGTAAGAAAAATAAAATCCCTGCAGCTGTTTTTATGAGGTTGCTTGTCTAAAGTGGATTGGTAACCTTATAAAAATACCCCGTCAAGAGAAGCTTCCAGTTTTCCAAACAGTCAATTATGTCTGAGACTGTAATAATAAAGGACTTTGTTAGAAAGCCTAAATGTGCTTAAGGTACCATGAAATCCCTACTTCCCATAGCTTGCCTCTGGATGTCTGTATATTCTAGTGTGACTGAAATTTTGGGAAAAGAGATGTACTTGCTGAAATAGCCATGAATAATTCGTTTATTAGTGGTCAGGGAGTAGGATTTTTGATACCTCTAACAGCATTTCTCCTCGTAAGAGCTCAAGATAGCAAGCAATATAGCATAAACCTTCCCTAAAACAGAACCTTCTCAAAGAGATATTAGTTCCCTTTCCTCCCCATCTTTCTATACCTATTGCTTTGGCTGTCCTTCTTCTCTTTCTTTCTTTCTCCTCTGAAAGAACTGTGGCTGAGAGTACCTCAGCATTTAAGGGTAATCAATTTGGGATTAACGGAGGCAGAACAGAAAGCTGTGACTGTGCCAGTTCGTTTCACTTTGAATTTTGAACTCCTTCTATAAATCAGTCTGTAAAAGTGGACAATAAATTGAATTGTTCCCCCAGTTGAATATAATTTCAGTAAAGTCTATTGGTAATACTTAAAATTGTCTGACAGGACATCTGGATTCCCTATCTTAAAACCAGTCATGTTCAGATTAGCTAGATACTGCTTTGGACACACATGTAGATATATACAGCTATTTATCAAGTGTCTTTTACTATGCTGAATGACATCTAAATTGACTTACTTCTGGTTTCTAAAGGAATTATACTCTTCATGCTGGAGACTGAAAAAATCCCAAGCCCCAAAACAACAAATCCCACAAACTATTCCAACATGAAATGTACAATTTAGGGAGCGATCTGGTCAGCAGTGATATAGTGCTTCATTTGGAGGGTTGAAAAAAACTTGTGGAAAAACAAATGAACAGGAGGAATTGAATGGCCAGTTTCAGAGTAACTGCCTGCCAAAGGTCATTGCTGATTACTTCTTCATATCCTTTAAATATTCCTTCCCAAGCTTTCAAATTTTCATTCCAGGTTGATTCTTTGGAATGTTACGTTGTGGCCCAGGGGATTATTTTAGTAGTATTATTCCTATCAGCATTATTTATTTTAATTACCAGGTACTGAACAAGAAAATTTGATTCAGTTCAGATTTTGAGAGGCCATTTGTAATGCAGATGAGGTGGATGAATACAAAATGAAGAGAAGGCTGCAGCACATCAAAAAGTCTGATTTAATGGTACAGCTTGAAGGGTTCCTCAGAACAATTCTCCATAGTTGCTGCTCTGCTCCTTCATTGGCACCTGTATTTTGAGCTCTATTTTACAGAATCACAGAAAAAACTGAGTTGGAAGGGATCCACAAGGATCATTGAGTCCAATTCCTAACCCTGCAGAGCACCATTCCCAAGAGTCACACCACATGCCCAAGAGCACTGTCCAAACACTGCTTCAGCTCAGATAGGTTTGGTACTGTGAGCATTTCCCTTGGAAGCCTGTTCCAGTGCCCAGCCACACTCCGGGTGAAGAACTTGATATCCAGCCTAAACTTCCCCTGACAGCTTCAGGCCATTCCCTCAGGTCCTGCCACAGATCACCAGAGAAGAGATCAGTGCCTGCCCCTCCTCTTCCCCTCATGAGGGAGCTGTAGGCTGCCATGAGGTCACCCCTAGTCCGTTCTGTTCCATTAAGCGAGAGGTGGTTTGGTCCTCTCCTCCTCTGGAGCACTCATCTGTTCCTGTAGTTAAACCCATTCTGCTTAATAGCATCTGACTTAATAATTATAAACATTTCAGCCTAGAAGGAGGTCTCAGTCTAGTTTTTTAGCCTGAAATACCAGTACCCAGTTCCAGTGCTGTTCCCTTGATCCCCCAAAATCAGTCCCGTGCCTTCTCCCTTGCTTACAGAAAATTACTTTCTAATTTTCAGTTTACCTGGCTCTTGCAGTAACTCTCTGTGCATCTTCTCTTTTTCCTTGTAGGTATGGAGAAGCGTTATTTATGAATTCAAAGCTTGTCAGTGGGGTCACAGAATTCCTCAATACTGAAGGAGAACTAAGAGAGGTAATTTTGAAATTACTTTTGTCATGTGAGATTGTGTTCAGTGTAATCAGGGAGCAGGGCAGGAACAATAACAAGGTTGTCCAGAAACTCTGTTCTCTCTGCTGCTGTTGAAGGCCCAACTGCCTTTGCAACACCAACCTGTTGGGCAGCACAAGGACGAGTAGATTGCAAAAACACATGTGTGTAGAGGTGGTGTCAGGAGGGGGATTGTGCAGGCAGTTCTTTGTGCTTGGCTGGATATGAAGATTAGTCTTTTTCTCTTGAGTATTGGTTGAGAAACTGAAGATGAGATATTTCTATCTTAATTGGCTTATTCTGCAGAGGGCAGTCCTTGAACACATCAGTGTTGAGAGTAGAAGATGCCAATGTGCTCTGTGGTTTTCTCTTTCTCACAGTATTTTCCATGTGAGAAAATCTGCTAACTGTATATGCTGGCCAAATTACACCACAATAATTTGTACTTCTTATTTAGGTGGTGTCATGGTTTAGCATTAGCTAAAAAATCACTAGAAAACATACTCATTTCTTGCTGTGAGATATGGATTAGAAGAAGAGCAAAACAGGTATAAAACTTAAAAGGAATAAAGAAAGTTTATTAACAAAACTACAAGAATAAGAAACCAGAATAAAACTTCCAGAACTCCTTTTTCCCCACTACCCAACCATTCTTTTTGTTCACATAACACAGAGACGACAAAACCTGGTGGTTAAAAGTCCCAACTTTGCTATAGTCTTTTTATCAGTCTTTGTAGAGAAAAAGAAGTTCTCTTCTGCTGATCTATGGAGTTTTTCATAATAAAACCATTTTTCTCATGGCTTTCTATTTTTCTGATGCCAGCTGCCTGGAAAACTCTGTCATCAGTTCTTTCCTCCCATTTCACATCACTCTGAGGTGTGTATGGGTCATGGGTCAAGGGGTGTCGTTTTAAGGATGAGTTATTCGAAGGCAAAAGTTCTCTTCATCTGTCTCTGTGACCATCTCTGGAAACAGAAGTTTTCTCTTTGCCACTTAAGGACCACAAATTTTCAACAACTCTCACTTCTCCATTTCTGTTCCAGCATCACATAAGATCACAACTACTTCACCATTTTACTCAGCTTTATCAATGAATTACTTTTGCTCCGATACACACTTTGAAATACTCTATTCTCCCCAAAGTACTCTCCCATGAATTAAAGGAGTTTTTTCAGAACACTATTGTCCATCTCCATAGTTTTAGCAAAAGAATATTTCAGCTTATTAAAGCATCTCCTTATTTCTCTCCCCCATCTGAAGCTTAATTCCTTTCTTCACTATCTTTGATAGTTTTTGTTGTCTTTTTACCTGTTGATCACTCTCTCTCTTCCCCTCTTTCTCTGGAAAAAAAGGATTAGTCTGCAAGTCTCATCTGGGTAATGAAAGGGTTAAAATCTTGCCCAGGCTTTGTAGATGGTTCTGTGATCTCTGCCGGAGCAGCAGCTGGAGCTGTCTGCAATGGAAGATTTTTTCATGACTGCTCTAGAAAGTGTAGTCCTGTCTCAGCCTGCTGCAGGTCAATGGCTTTCTCTCTCTTTACTCGGCAGTCTCTGGTGAATTCAGTCACAGCAAAACCTGCAGCCGAGCCAGGGAGCGGCCTGGCCTGGCCAGAGCCCGGGACAAGCCCCGCAGGCCCCATCTCCCGGCCGGGAGCCGCTGGGCCCAGCCCAGCCCCAGCCCGGCTGCATGGCCTGGGCAGGGAATGGGAGGCCAGCCGGAGCTCTGTTACCTTTCACAGCCAGGAAACAAAGAGACAAATTCCCAGGCTTGAGTCTTAAGGTGGTGTTCATAGGTTGATCTCGCTTTTCAATGGTCAGAACTACTGTCAGTAATCAGAAATGGCCAATTATTGGCCAGGAGAAAAACTCCCTTCAGCCTCCGGCAGCCTAAAGTTCCTTAGGTGTTTCTCTTTGTTTCTTAAATGCCAGTCTATCACAGATGGGAATGATTTTTCATTTTAACTTTACATCTGTCCTGAGTGAGGTAACTGTGCAGCTGTGCTACACTCTGTTTAGCATCTACTCAATGCTGCTCCAAATGGATACAGTGATTCTTATGCAGCACAACCACCATTACTTGAACTCTGTTCTCTGATGTTATCCAACCATTTGTCTGTACTCAAGTCTGGTGGCCTCAGTAGCTTAAGGAGGAGCCACAGGTGGTTTCCTACCCCCAGCTGGGGATGACACTGTTGGTCAGATCTGAGTATCTGCCCTGCACAAGGAAGCCTTCTGAACTCTTAGTTTCTGCCTTCGTGATAGGATTGGTGAGCTGCTTGGTTATACTTCCCTAAAAGAAACTGGTATTGTAAACATTTTGGTATAAAAAGTACAGAGATCAGGTAAATTTTGATTTTGATAGTTTCCAGGTCTCTTTCATGCTTTTTACTGTGATGGAATGAGACAGTTGCAGAATCAACCTTTTCAGTTCTGAGCCCAGGCACAAAGATTTTGCTGGAAGTCAGAATTTAGAAACTGAGGTAAATTTGGTGTCACTGGTAAAAAAAAAGATGAAAAATTAAGTAGTTATTCATAAGTGTTGCCAAAACCATCAAATTTTGTACTAGTCGACATAATCTGCCATCTATTGTGCTGATCAGCCTAGCAAATCTCACTTGGAAAGAACAACAATTGAAAACCTGCCAGCACCACTGGTTATAATAATCCAGGTGCTGGTGCCATACTTTGAAAACAGACAAGAGCAGAGCAAGAACATTTTCAGTCTGCAGAAAAAAAGATCAAAGTTTTCTCATAAGGGAAGAAGGAGTATGTTTCAGGTATTCAAAGATTGCCAAATGCATGGCCGCTTGCTATTTTGCCATTCTCTTCTCACTGTAACCATCATTCCTTTTTTCAGCAACTGACCTGTGTTATGTAACCAAAAAGGATCTGCACATCAAAATAAAATTAATGTGTTTTGAAGCTTGATAAAACCAAAGGGTATCAAGGCTGCCTTCTGCTAATATTTGCATATAAACCTTAATTAGAAGCAATTCCATTGCTCGAAGTTTTGTTTCTTAGATACAAATAAAAGTTTAGAGCAGCCATCTACGCAGTGCAGCAGCTGAGCTGCAGGAGGGTAGGAGGTAATTATATTAATGTGATCCAGCACTGACATATCAATATCTTCCAGTGCAATGTGAAGCAATTGCATCACATCTAATTGACAGTTTGCTGTCTTAATACATTTCCTATTAAATCTTTCTACCTGATGCTGCATTTACTTCTACACTGATTGTGGAAGTTTGTCCTAAATGGCTGACTTATTTGTGCGCACTGGAAATATTTGCTTTCTTTAGTTGTGGCAAATTTAACCTGTTAACTTGTATTTCCAGCTAAAGAACTTTATAAAGAGTTACGAAGGGGGTGCTGCTGTCTCTTTCTCTCGTGCTGTGGAAACAGTGGAAGCCAATGTGCGGTGGCAAAGGCTTTATAAGGAAGAACTGTTCCAGTGGCTAAGAAAATCCTTGACACAGTAATCTGTCTTTTAAGCCAATCATTTAAACATGACTTACTGCAAGAGGAAGAGGAGACATTTTAAAAGTGTTCAACATGAAAATCATGAAGACGAGATCAGACTGCAGGGATAAGGTTTTTTGTTTTATTGTTTTTTTCATTGTGGATTTTTCTTTTTACACTGAACTCTTGTGAAATTGTCAAGAAGATTTTCAGAAGAGAAGATCATGAATGCTTGTGAAACCCAGTCCTCAGTGTACACAACCAAACATGATATTAAGTGGTGCATGTAAATGTCGGGAAAAAAACAAACAAAAAATCCTTCAAAGGCTATTTTGTGCATGCTTGTACTGTCTTTGCCTGTATTTTAGCATGCTTATGTATAACAGCCACATTTTGTATGTGAGTTCCAGTTACATCAAAGTTGGGCATTATACAAAGCACAAAGACTCTATGACAATCACTATTTCGATGAAAAAAAGGAAAGCAAGGAAAAGGAAATGCAGAAGGCTTCCAGCTTGGGGTGGTATGAGATGTAAAATCTACTTTCCCACTTGCTGCCAGTTTGTCTACCACTCAGATTGTCTCCTAATGATTACAAAGATGCCAGCTCATTTTTTGAATTACCAGTTATATCTGCAGTCTCCATATTCCTATATTTAAATAATCAGAATAGTGAGAGAGGAGAAAGAGAAAAAGGCCAGGAGCAGGGTTAGAGAGAGAAAATGAGAAGGACATCATCACTGCATTATAATCATATACATTTGTTCACTGCTGATCAATGAAACTCTGTAGTTTCAACTGCAAACGTGTGTGGGGGCAGGAGCTTTGCATTGATTTCACAGAATCCATGAACCACCTCTTCTCAGCTACTTTACAAGGCACTGATACAATGGATCATGCAGGTCACCCAGCCTGTGCACTAGTAAGTTTTGTAGCTCACAGTGCACAAGTATTATAAATAAACATAAGATTCAAATGAAAATTAGGAAAGAGGGAGAATATCTTGCATGCAAAGACTTAAAATTGCCCAAGAGGGTTGTCTTGCATGTGGTAGACCAGCTCTGTAGTGATTTATTATGATAGACAGGTCAGATTCTCTATATAGGCAACACTTCTGCAAATATGGAATGTATGATTTATGCCATAATTGAAAAGTGAAATATGGAGAGAGTGAGGGGGGTATACATGTGTTTATTTGTACTGACTAATACTGAGAACGTGGTTTTCTTTTGGATCCCTTATACTTCATATAGACTATTGTTCATGAATGACATTTTTCTTAATCGTGTTTATTTCTTCTCAATCCTTAATTTGAAAGATCAGTGACACAGTGGAATTGTACAATGACTGTCTGCACTCTGGAGCTAAATGTTGAGGATAAAACTGGTGAGGGAAAATACTCTCTCATTTCCACACTGGAGGAAAAAGCCACAAGAATACAGTTTTCAGGAGTCAGATTGCAGCAGCTTCAGAGGTAGAATATAGATGTGGGACAGTTTCTTTATCCCGTCCCAACCTATCCCAACCATCTGACCACATCATGGCCATGTACATTGGGAGCACATGGCCCACTAAAGTAGAGAGTAGCCATTCTGTCTGGTTGCCCTCACAAGGCATGGAAGTTACCAACACGCTTTACACTTGCAGTTGCTTATCCCCAGTAAGTTGTGAAATGAAACATTAGTGTGTAAAGAACCAAACCCAAGCATCTTCTGATATTTTTAGAGTTGTGTGGAGACAGTATTGTTTTCTGGGCTCTCATTCCCAAGGTATTCTGCTCCTCAAAAACTAGCAGACCCATCCTGTAACTAAGCTGTTGTACTGATCTTGGTGCCTGTTGTTGTGTGCCCTTTATTTTTGGAGGGTGTCTGTGGGTTGGGTGCATGAAATCCTTACGTGGGCATTTTTTCAGCTGTTTGGTGCTGTGTAGCACATTAGATTGACTCACATATAACCAAAAGAAGAGGGAATCCTGTGCTCTTGTACTGTTAACTCTTTGCCTTAGTAAGCTCTAAACCTTTGTGCTATGTTGCAGTGCTAGTGAACCTGCTGCCCAGAGACATTATCATGTCGAAGCTGAGTGAAATCCTCCTCCTCCTTTGTATTTTACCTACCTCACAGGGGTGTTGTGAGGCTTGACTAATGTTAGCAAAGCACTTGAATATCATCTTATGAAAGGCATTTAAAAGTGAAAAGTATTATTTTATGCGGTTGACCAAACTCAACCTCAATGCCAGTATGTAGCGTCACATTTTTAATTTCTACTGAGAAAAATCACATGCAGAGTTTTTGGTTTTTTTTAATAATAAAAAAGCAAGCCAAATACTATTTAATGTAACCTCTACCCTGTAATGAAGGCCAAAATTGTGATATCCAAAGAGTGTGCAGAAAGCCAAGCCCTCAAATATGAATTGCTTGGAGGATTTCAGAGAACAGAAGAGTGTGAAATGGTCTGTCCCTTTACAATTTTATTCAGTATTGTCTTTGATGACTTTTCCAGAACCACAGATTAAACCACATACCTTGCAAGATGCACATAAAAGTTTCTGGTCTTCCCACTGATAACAGTATATTCCAAAGTCAAAATTTCGCTACAGCCTGTGTGTTTTGCACAGTGCACAGAAATTTCAACTCTTGCTCATTTGGATTGAACTTCTTGCACATTTAGCTGGTTTTGGATGTAAATTGATATTTTAGTGGCCTTGAGCAACTGGTCTACCACAGATATCAAGACCCAAATGTATATATTATACATACCCATTAATGTGTTGCTTATAATTGTATTCTAATAATGTTAGTATTATTCCTCTAAGGTTGAACTGGCCTTTCCATTATAATTCTCTATTATTTTATTTTTTATGTTTTGTATTTTGCTGTTTCACACTGAATCAGGATTAAATTTAAATGGATTAAATCTAAAAAAAACCACAATTGTTTTCTGCAATATTCAAACACCCTACATTTTATTATATGTCTTCAGAAACCTTTTTTAAAGAAATTTCACACAGCTGTGTGTTAAAGAATAGTTGATTCCTCATGGAAAGTTCTAATACTGCTTAGAAAAATCAATTGATCATATTGATTTTCTTTCTCTTTTACCAATCCTTTTCTTCCCTTGCCCATATCTAAAGATGGTCCTCATTTTTATGATTTAGATTGTGATTAGGAAGCCAAATACTCCATACTTTTCAGCATTTTCTAGTATTTGACTTTATCCTTTCTAGTGTCCTTTCTAGTGAGAGGAGATCATGCAAAATGTGATTGCAGTGTGGACATGGACATGGACATGGGTGTCATTTTATAGAGATTTGATGAGAGTAAAATCTCTAATCAGCTTTTGTATGACTCAGGATCCTTTGTAGTTATTAATTGATATGGCTTCCTATATCATATAGGAAGACTTATGAGTAGACATGATTCTATGCCAGCATAATGAAATAGCTATTGTATTTTTTATAAAATTGTCCAGTACAAGTATCTGGGCTATTACTTTGTAGCTGGTAGAATTATTCATGTATCCACTGCTAATAGCTGTTAAAATGATAGTAGCTACTAATTGTGACGAGGGCAGAACACTGTGAAAACATTCTTCTGAAATGACATGTCATTTCTGCTGTTACTGGGAGTACTTGGACATTGGTTATGTATGATAAAAAAAAGCAAACCTAATGTGTTCTCAAGTGCATCTAAATTTGGTTATCTTTTCAGTGAATATAGCAAGAATTGTGATCCTACGCTGGAAACTGAAGGTGAATTTTATGTAGTTTTTGGGCTGTTGTAGATATTTCACTGATCTTTAGAGTGCCAAAGGAAATATGCCCTTATGCAGAAGGGTGCTTTCACAGCAAAGATCCTGAACCATACAATTAATTCTTTAGTCATAAGTAATAAAAAATTAAAAGAGTGTGTGTGTGTGTGTGTGTGTGTGTGTGTGTGTGTGTGTAAAATCCTCCATAGACATACTTTTCCCATAAAAATCTAATTATTTGGATAGAATAAAGCAAAGGTAACATTTGCAGGGGAGGGTGCCTTTATTTAGATACCTGCATAATAAGGTTTTGGTCTTCCACATGATCATAAATGATACTGAAAATAGACTTTGAGTCAAATGTGTAACTTTATCTTTGAGGAAAATGGATGAGGGTTTGAAAACTGCTAATGTATATAATCAGCTTAGCAGCACTCTTGCTATGAGTACTCACCATATCAGGCTACCTGTCCTAAGCAGGATATAGCCACAGTGTCAATATGAGCATGAAGGAGTAGAAGGACCATCCAGCTGTAGAGCAGCCTAAAGAAAGTCTGTTTGCTCAGCTATGGATGGAGCAGTCAGAAAACTGCTGGCTGTATCATCTGCCACTGCTGCCAGACCACCTGGGTTAGGAAAGCAGCTGGGAACCACTGAAATGCAGAAAGGCTCCATCCAACTTCCTTTTCATCTGTGTGGAAGAGACGCAAGGTCCCTTGGCTGACTATGGGTTGTGAATGATCTTCAGAGATGAATGTCACTGCCTTGTGCTAGCAGAAAGCAAAGGTCCAGCTAATGAACCTGCACTGCTCAGAAAAAATAGACCTCAGCTCTGGCCATCACAGCTGAAAAGTGTTGACCAAAATGTTTGTAAAGGTCTAGATTATTATAGTGTTCCTCTTCAAAAATATTTTCAAACAGTCAAATATTTGATTTTCAAGTGTGAATAGGAACAGATACTTTTTCTTTATGATGTTTTTGTTAATATTTGAAAGTGTACCAGGAATTTCTTGGGCTTTTTTTAACAAGTGGGTTATAAGGATATACTACAAATTATTTCTGGTAATAATTCTAGTAATAGTAGTAATTGTACTCATACCATAAAATACAAAAAACCCAAACAAAAACAATCAGATGCCTTCGTAAACCCGTATGGCACCAGTGACTGTGCAGCTCTCTTTTTGCATACAAAGATGTAAAAAAAGTTGGTCACTTTGTTTCTCATATGACCGTGCAAGCTTCTGCTGGTCTTAATACCAGTTCTGAAACCCAGTGAAACCACTCTGACTTGAGCAAGTAGTTCATGCTGACATGAGTAATTTTGTTTTCAGTGGGAAGGAAGGGGAGGAAGGATTTTTCACCAAAGTAAGGCCACACACCCTCATTAGGCAGAATTTTAAAATCAAGATTATTGATATTGAACTTTGCTCTCTTTCGTGTCCATGCTGGCACTGGAGTGGCATTCTGAGCTTGACCTTAGAATATGGTAACACAGTTAGAGGCTGAAATTTAAAAGACATATGGAGCCAGTTTCATTGAGGTATGTTTAAGGAGAATCACCCACATGAGAAGTGCTGTGAGTCAGACCAAATGTAATTTCTCAGAAGAAAAGGCATTTATATTTGACTGATTTGTTACTAGTGAAGTAAGTGTGACCTTGCCAATCAGTATTTCAGAATGCTTTGCTTATTTAATGTGTACCATTTCCTGAGAATATTGAAGCAATGTTGGTAGAGAACACAGGTGAGCATCTTTGTGAGAGCAGAGGGGCTGTGCTGCAGCAGGCAGTCATGAGCCGGAGGCTTTTGCCAGAGTCCCCCAGCATTTTCTGGACAGCATCACTTGGATCTGCTTGATCAGGATAGCCATGGTACAATGGACCAGGCCAGCAGCCAAGATGCAGTCTCAGTTCTTTGTGATACATTTCACTCCACTTAATACGTTGGTTTCTGTAATTTCAGAATAATCTGTGGCCAAACTGGTGGAGCTTGTGTGGCTGCAGAGCCTCTGTGGATGCCCAGTGAGGTAGATCTGTTGAAGTGACTGATGTGAATTCCAGCTGAGGATCTACTCCACTGTTCCCAAAACAGCCCTGGAGGTGTCAGCTTGGGTGCTGTACAGGATGTTTTGTGAATTTGTATCTAGGTTTCAGTAGCATATATTGGATGACAAATGTTTTTCATTTTTCTTTGGCTTTTCATTTGGATAATATTTTGTGATTGGTTCCAATGTGATGAAGCTTTATAATTTTTTTTGAGAACTGTAGAATACTGTACTGTGAAGAGTGTGGCTACTACCCTCTCTTTTTCCTGCAAACAACAGATTTCAACAGAGATGGACTTTCCTGGACTTAGACACTCTGTCTGTGAAGAAAAAACAAACTTTGACGGGTTTCAATGGAAAAATCATTGTAATTACTGTATAACGACCCTGTATAAAGACAGCTTTATTATATGTGTAAATGTAATTTTGCTATGTTGTTGTAATGTTTGAGAGACAATAGGCTTTGGTGTGGGTGAAACATACAGCCTTATAAAAACAGAGATTGTATCTCCCAGTATGATGCTTTTTTGGCAGGTGTTCAGTTGCTGTATTTTTGCAGAAGTAAATATAAACTGGTTCTCTGAAAACTAACTACACACACGTCAATGACATAAATAGATCATATTGTTGAAAATAAAGGATTGATGATAAATTTCATTATTTTTCCAAAAGACTCCACATGTAAGTTTGGCACCTTAAGAAGAAAGAAGTCATCCTGCAGCTGTTTATGCTGGTTATAATGGATGAGTCCCTCTGTTAATTCTGTCTTAACCTTAGATTAATTCTGAATACTGTAATTAGAAGTTCTCAAATCTGTAGTCTTGGGAATTCAGGTTTTTGTCATGTAAGAGGTGTCAAGTAAACTGACTCTTTTTATACAGTTCACCAGTGTTTTCATATAAATGTCTGTTTGCTAGATCAGAATGCCATTTTCATATAGAGAAAATACAGATGATTGCATAATACCACACTTCTCTTTCTATGTATCATGTGTACATGCATGTATAGCTTCTAGTTCTGGATATTTTGCTTTGAAAAATTATTCATTGGTTATTTTTATTTATACAGCTAGCTCAAACAGTTTCAACTCAGCAAAACAGTTGGATGTAAGGCAGGATGTGAGGCTGTGTTGACCGAGACTCAACCATATGTATAAATCTGTAGGCAGTCCCTCTGATGTCTGTGGGATTAATTATAAACTTCAAATTAATGTATATTCACTGTAAACTCCTGCATATGACTGAACTAGTATTTCTGGAAAGTGATTTAGGTTGAAATATGTTTCTACATAGGTTTCAGGTGCAGTATATGGTGATATGTTTTTGCTGAATTTAAAATCACAGCTTTATATAGAACTAACTACTCTCTCTGCTTTTTTTTAATTTATTTTTTTTTCACAGAAAAGGATATATTTTGCATATAGAAGGGAGATGTTTACTGATTCTCTGTATATCTAAAATGCCACATTGAACAAAGTTTTTCATTTATTGTTTGGAGCATTCTAGGCTTTTTGAATAAAGCCAGAATTATTCTTACAGTGCTAATTAGCAAATATAGAACTAATCAGAAATTGAAAACATAAGCCAAATAAAATATTTGAATTTCTGAGAACAGTGTTTTTTGTTACATGCCTTTAAAAATGATTACATAAATATGGGACCACTGTGTGTTCAACTTAAAATTTTTATTCCACTCTTAAGGACTAACTAAATGGAATTTTTTTTTAAGAGAAACTTGATCTTCTGTATTTTAACCAAAACAAATTTGAATTTTGTCTCTGATAATAAAATTTTGTATAGTAATGTGTAATTCATCACTGTCTTAATTTTCTGATCTGGAGACATAGCTAAGATAAATAATGCCCAACCTTTTGATTGTGTTCCCATTTTACTGAGATAACAGTTTAGTAACTGAGTAGATATGCTGATGTTTTACAATGAAAACCATGCAAGAGAAGGTATTTTTTGACATGATGAATTTTTCAAAACATTAAAATGCTGGGACTAGTAGAAAGCAGAGAACCAAGAAAAATACAAACTGTGGGCTTTGAGATACTCTTAAGCACTTCAAGACTAACAGGACTAAGAATAGAGAAAGGAGAAGTCTGTTGTGCTTTTTTAATTATGTAAATTTTGAATAAACAAAAAGATCTTTTCATTGGTAAAAGTGATTTCAGCTAGAATGCAGTTCAAATGACTTTTTAATAGAGTCCTTGAATCCAGGCTATTATTTTCCTTTTTTGAAGAACAGTTTTCGGTAACAATGAGATGTGAAATATGTGCAATTATTTACCCATTGGATACAATCATGTTCCCACTGAAGTCAATTGGAGCTTTGACATTGACATCAGTGGAAGTAAAAGCCTGCCCTGTATTTTTTAAAATACAGCTTTCAGTGCCAGAATACCTTTTTTCTTGAGCAATAAAGATGTTTTCTTCTGTACTGCACATCTTAGTCTGCTGAAAGGTTGAAGGAAATTTTTAAGGTTCTGATTTTGCAAAGCACAACAGGCAGCTTTGATGCTTGGAACCAAGGTAAGCAGAGCTGAGGCTTAAATTAGTATGTTTTTAGTATCCTACCTTTAAACACTTCACTGGGGCTAGAATTTTGACCATCCAATATGCATGTCAGTAGGGTATGTAAATGTACCTTTCATACCCCTTTTTTCCCTGTGCTTAGGTCTGGGTCAGGAGTTCAGCGGGCCTAAGGAGTTGTCTTGGGTGCCAACAGAGAGCTTCCACATAAAGAGGAGATAGTGGACTGTAAGATGAAATATGAGAGGCTAGGAGGTACTTCCCCCAGAAGGGTCCTTGCCCTTCCTTTTTCTGCTACATGTCTCTGTCCATGAGTGTTGAATAAGCTGACCCAAAGGGCATGACCACCTTGGAAGCTTCCCTGGAAGGACATGAGGAGAGAGAAATGGTACTTCCCTCTAAAATGTCACTGGCAGCACATCTCCTGATCAAACATCAGAGAACATGTGTGTTTCTTCCCCAGTGTGGCCACTGCAATCAGCAGCACTTCAGTCTGGCTGAGCTGCTTTCAAGTTGAACATTTTCATACAAAACCAAATGAAGAGCTGTTTATTTGCTCTCAGCTCAGTGTCTTCAGTAAAAGCAGAACTTTAAAGGGACTCATTTCCTTTGAAAGCTCCTCAGCTGAGCTGCAGGGTGTAGGAGGAAAAGAAGCTAGAGCCTTTGGCTTGTAAATTGACTTAGGAGTATTTGCTATCTTAATAACAGAAAATCATATTTTGCTGACTAATTTGCTGCTTCCTCCTATTTGTAGCAAAAATACATCTCGTTCCTTTAAGCAGCACCTTCAGCATGGAAGCCACCATTCAGAGTCACACTGCTGTCAGAGGCACTCTGCTGCACATTGCTAGGAAAGTGGGAAGAAACAATTCAGTGAGCTGATAACATTCCCAGCTTTCCTGAGAATTGAGCACATAAACCCCATGTTAGGGAAAAGTATTGAGAATAACATGACTGAGGCTGTCTTACAGATGGGATGGAAAAATGAGCACAAAGATATTTGTAAGGAAAGTTTAATGAAGGTAAGGCTGGAATTATGTGAAGTAATGAGGGTGTGCTTGGGAAATTAAAGCTTCTTTATGCTGAAACTTAACTTTGAGTTAGCAGCCACATATATTGTGGCCAAAATCTAATTAAAATAAAAAAAAAAAAAAATCCCAAATGGTTAAAAGGAGATGTGCTGCACCCTACCAGTCATTTCTTGCTTTCAGGGGCTGATATCAAACTACAGATACTCCTTTCTATGGTTTGAAGCAGCAAATTAGCCCATATTCTCCTCTCTGTGTCACTTTGTCCAAACCTAACCCCTTAGAATCTGGACTAATGGTGCAAGGCTTAGTGAGAACTTCGTGAACAGGGTCATGATGAGACTGGATCCTCATGGCACACATTCCATGTGTCACCTCCTGCCCTGTCTGACATAGTTCTGTTTCTCTGCTTCTCAGGCCACAGCAACTGTAGAACAGCAGGGAGAGCCTGAGTGTGTTTTGTAAGGTTTTGCCTTGTATCACCTTGCCTTTTAGCAGTAATAAAGGGCTGCAGTGTAGAAATCAGGGCAGAAGGATCTAAGGGGCCCTGGTCTTCCATTTTGCTAACCTTCATACCTGGTCCACCAAAGTGCCTCACTCCCTGCTGAACTGCTAGGGCTGAGCAGCAGCATTAGGGCTCAAGCCCCAGTATAGCATTTTCATTATGTGGTGTATTGAATCTAGAGTTAATTATTCATGGTAGTGCTAGAGCATTATTTTTAGCAGGCATCATTTTGCTTACTGAACTTTTTCAGGAGTCATTTTGTCTGTTCTACTTACCATCATTTTTGACCTGCTCATTGCAGAAGGTGAGGAGAAAGAGGGAGAGGATAATATGATGCTATTACATGACATGTCTATTACAGTAATTCATTTCATGTGGCACAGAGCTGTTGCCAGTGATAAATGCATGTTCCTGGTACAATTATGAGATGTACCTTGAATTTTTCAACAATAAAACTGTCAAAAGGTTGGAATAGGCACAAGCAAAAATGTGAATCTGGCCCTTAAAAAGATTAAATACTCACAAGTGATTTTAAGAAATGTTATCATTTTCAGAGGTGCACTTTTAGATCCATTAACTCTTTATATTAATACCAAAATATTGTTAGACAATATTGTTAAACAATAGATCGTTTCTGTTTTACAGTCATGGATATAACACATTTTTTCTCATCCCACTCATCTGCTTGGCTAATTGATATGTTTCAAATACATTTCTATGGAGGTTACAGTAATGATGTAATAATAGAAGTGTTAGCACAAAATCAGCATATATATTTCCATATATATATATATATGTATATATATATGTGGAAATCAGAGCAGTTCTGTCCATTTAAAATGTCTATAAGGTTTTAGGTGGTTGATATCAAAAGTAGATTAACCCTAGCAGGTAAGTAACCCCAAAGACAGATGTGTTGCTCCAAAGGAGAACATGTCAGTGTGGAGAGCAGAGGCAGTTTGAGGAAGGGTTCTTGATTGTTTTCTGAAGATCTGTGCAGCTGTAAAAGACAAGCAGAGGAAGATCCCAACCAAAAATAGGGATCAAAAAAAAAAAAAGCAAGTGAGTGAAAAAAAAAGCCAAGACAAAAAAGCAAGAATTGGAACTGTGACTCTGGGAAAAAGCTTAGAGAGAAAGCAATTAGGACTAAATTCTGAAAAGACTAAAAGTTATCTACAGAGGATTAGTTGACATCAGCAGGTCCAGTTAATGATAATCTCCAGTGGAACCACCATGATAGGAGAGAGCTGAAAATTTGCACTGGACAAAATTAATGAAACATTAACTTTAAAATATTCCTCCTGCAGTCACCATCATCTGTAAAATGTTATTTCTGCTTGCGAAAAGTGCTGGTTGACCATCACAGCTAAATGTGAAGGGTTTGAGAAGCAGTAAAAGATCAAGACTTCCGTAGTGCCTTATTGGGCCTGGTTGAGGCTGGTGAGCCAGAAGCCTGGTTAGGATTTCACCCAGTGTACTGTGCAGCTGCAGATGTTTTCCTCTAGTTTTAAACCCAGTTAAGCTGTAAACTGTACCATGTATCTAGAGTGCTTGTACCATATTAAAATATATGAACTGCTTAGGGGGAGCTCTTGCTTGAACTCAGATTAGTTCACACAATTCAGTATGAGATAAATGGTTCACTCAGGAATTTTTTTGTTCTTTTTCAATCTCCTTATTGTAGAGCATATTTTTCAGTAACTCCTAGTTCAACCTGGGAAAAATAGTCAGATAAATAAAAAACTAAGGACAAAATATCAGGATCATGGTCCATAAAAGCTCTCTCTGCATCTGTCTGTACATAATTCATTCTTCTGTGACCTTGCCTAATACAAAAACTTCAAAGGCATGGATGGGGTTTGCATTTTGCTATTTTTGTGTGCACAATAAATTAACATGGGTAAATATTTAGTTGATATAGCTGCATGGAATTTCTATGGAGGCTAAATAATCAAAATTACACACATAGTAAGTGGGAAAATGAAAGTCATATTTCTAAAATTACGTGTGCAAATGCAATTGCAACTTTAAAAGCATTTCATTTAGGTTCAGCAATTGTACTTTGTAATTGGGTATAAAATGGTGCTAAATATTTTAAGTGTCTAAATAACTTGTCTAGGCTTATAAAAGGACAGAATTCTACTGCCTCCTCCCTACATATATTAAACTTGCAGCTTCTGATACAGAAGCTACATTTGAGAAATTGGTGTAAACAATGAGATTTGCTAAAATGAAGGGATTAAGGGAAATGCTTCATGTTAATTTGCTCTACAGACTTGAGCAAACTAAGTGCTGTTATGTACAGACAAGGGGATAAACTTAAATAAACAGAACTGGCTCAGTTGGGCAAGATTGAGTTTGTCTTCCTAATAAGTCGGTATATGCACTTTGCATCGTGCTAGCAACTTCTAATTTGTATCAGAGTTGGTGGCAGAAAAGTCATATGCAGTGGTCTGAAAGCACAGCACAGCTGGGACTTCCATGTGTCCTCGAAGTAATGATTCAATTAATGTGCTATCCAGTGCTATTTTGGCAGAGCTAGAGAGATTTGAACAGCTGAGACAATGCAGTGCAATGTACTACTTCCAAAGAGCCTGGTTCCTACAGTGTGTGTCAGACTTGCTAAGTTTACTTGTCTGCTAGATAGATCAGCCTGCATCTGAGCTGGTTGTTGAGGATCCCTTAGTCAACATGGTGAAAAAACCAATCAATCTGATCATAAAATATGCAACTAATGCAGTAAGGT